TTCTCCTCGAGACTTCTGGACTCCTTTGGAGTCATGATGACCAATGCTGACCGACACAATTAGATACATGATCGCCACGTGGTGGTAAATGTTAGAACTGTGGTCATTATAATCCCCATGACTCCATACTTATAATGTAAATCGGATGCACTGATAAATAACTCCATAACAATCGAAGGCGATTGCAGGATTTTATAAATACCCCTTATACGAGCTATCTTCAGGTTCGATCATCTCACTTGAATTCTTCCTCTTTATGACAATCATGCCACGCACCTTCTAGATCAGTCGTGACTGTCTTTTTGTGCTACCTTAATCTAGTTTCGTGTAAACGATCATGAGGTCAAAGAAGTGGGTGATGAATTTCAATATTATAGATAGAGGTGCCTTGCGCTGAGTGTGTCGCAGGAGAATTGAATGTTGCCTCTTCCACTTCAAGAAACACAGATTGTCCACAGACTGCATGATTCCTGGACTTCCTTCCAATGAGCCAATGAAGATCCGAAGAAACGCCAGTTGTTAAGGAAGATCCCCCGTTTACGAGATAATGTAGGGCCCAGACCTACTTTATCTTTTTGCCAGTTAGAGGACTGTTTCACTGTCCGCTAAAGTTAGAGAAGGTTTGTGCATACGAAGATAAAGGAGCTTCAAGTTAGAAGTAGGTTGTGCATTCGAAAAAGGGCTCTTTAGCTTAAACCTCGTTTAAGTTAACGGACGTTTTGTTAAAGAGAGGTTACGCATTCCCTAAAGAGCTCTTAAGACCTTTATTTCTCCTAAATGAGGTCTGTGCATTCGGGCCTACACAAGCTTTTTTAAATCTTGAGCCCTGGCGCCTAGCTTCAGCTCAGTGGGAACATGTTCAAGTGGTTGTCAATGAGTTGAGATGTTTGCAAGTATGAGTCCCTCCAAGAAAATGAGTCAGGGACTCGCTATAGCGAGTTAACGTGAACTCTGGGCCTAGATCTTCACTGATAATGAAAAAAGGCAAAACTCTTCTAAGGTGATAAAAAATAAAACCGTAGTTATTAATCTTGCATATTGGAAAAAAAACGAAAATTATGCCGAAGCATACGAAACAAGCATACATTACATTTTGATCAGCTGATCTTAAGAGCTTCTCATCATTGATGAGAAGACTAAATCCTGGTATGCTAAGGAATACATGCACATAATTTTACTATGTGCATGTATTCCTTAGCATAATTTTACATTTGACATAATTTTACTATTCAACGGTTTGGCTGCTACAGCGCTAACAGACACGTAGACACAAAAGTGCAGACTTCTGTTGTAGTCAATGCGTTTTCGCATGTTTTATCTTCGACTCATAACAGGTTTAACGGTGGGCCCAAAATGTTATTATGACTAGTGACCATTTCAGTCCAGACGGGACTGGAGGAGTTCCAATTTTCCCCCCGTATATTTTGCAGGCATAGCAGGACTTAGAAACTTGTACTTTTGTGCTTAATGACGTTTCATTGTGGACGGTTGAAAAAGGTAAATGTTTTTACACCATTTATGTGTTTCATGACTGAAAGGGTTAAAATATCTGAGGTAAGAGGTTAAGGCACCGATCCATCAACCGATCGAGGGATTCATACCCTTCATGCTGGAGGAAGATTCCTTGGTACAGGCCGCGTCGGCTATCAGCTCGGTACGTCATATGAACTTCCTTTTTTTATCTAAAAAATATTAGAAGTATTGGAATATTTCCTACAATAGCACGATGTTTTTGACCCTAGAACACTAACGTGGGGTCAGGATAACTCCTCTTATAAAAAGTACTATAATGCTCAAAATTGCGCTTAGGTGTAAACTTTTATTGACTAATCAAGTACATTCTGTGCATACATTTCCACAGTGTTGTTGATAAGTTGTAGCTACACAGTTGCAGCTACTGCACTTCAGTGCAGATGTGTATATGTTCTGACGCTTGGGGTCTGGTGTTAGTGTCCTAGGCTCAAGTCCTCTCATCTAAATGACACGGAGAAGCATTCAAAGCTAGATGTATTTAGTCTCTCATGTGACGACACAAAGACAAGTCGCCCAGCTCGGGATTTTCCTGGATATCTCCGCCGTATTGGCACGTGCAACTGTCTTGAAGATATCCCTTTCGAGTTATCGTAAAGCGTTCGACAGAGCCCTTAGGATGTCCCAAGAAGACCTTAGGACAAGTCGTCCTGTTGAGTACATCTCGTGGATGACACCGCGCTGTGTCTGGGCTGAACACAGCGTGGACCAGCGGGTAATCCACGCTGTGCGCGAAGGACAGGAATTCTACGTGGTAGCTGTCTCTCCGATGCCCCCACCCCCAACCTTAGATAAAATTTATATTACTTATACCAAGTTGGTTTTGCACAGGGGAGAAGCATAACGATTTTCGTACTGTGCAGGAAAACTGACGGAAAACGAAAAAAATCGGGGCCATCATTTTAATTTTGAGTACTGTAATAGTCTCATTGATGCTGCTTAATTGGAGTGTCTGAGTACAACTATTCTAGTTGGAAGTCTGAGCATGAACGAGGCTCCCAAAATGCGACGCACGGAATCCGGAGCCGTTCCAAGCCTAATCCCTCGGAAATAAGTATTGTATCCTAAGATGCTCTCATGGTTCCCTTCCATTCACGTAAATCAATAGGAATCTGGAACGTAAACCAAAGTCGTGTATGGGAACTTCTACATGTAATCAGGATACGTCTTTGGGACAAGTTCAAGCTCTTTGAGACGCGCTTGGTCCACCAGCATCTGACTTGATCAAAGTGTGGCTCTTACTTATGGAGTAGACGTCAGTCTACTCCATAAGTAAGATCATAACTCTGATCCTGATGAGAGTTCTTCCTCAGCTGTCATTTCTAACCTGGCAATGTCAATTAGTTGACATAGGAATTAAAAGGAATTGCTCTCCTCGTTAAAAAAATCGTCTCCATGGTCGAAATTAACTGAATACCAATCCCCCATTGGGGGGGGGGGGGGGGGGGAACTTGAAGCATTTCCCCACTATAGATTAGATTGAATTTCTTATTTTAAGCTCAAGTCCCGACGAAGTTGTGAAGGTCGACACTTAAGCCCTGGGTCAACCAGCAAATTTTATGAATGGAAAAGAGAAATAATTCGGGTTTCATGTTTAGGGATCAGATACACCGTTCTAAAGAACTTTTTGCTTCATTTCCTTGTCTACAAAAAACAGTCTTGTTACAACATGCCTGAAGGCTTAATGCTCAAATTCCTATGGAGCATATTAGGAATGAGCAGAATTTTGCAGGCAGCATGGAAGTTTTATCCTCTTATTTTTGTCTAAGTGCAACAATCCTTTATGTTGCAGCCTATTGTGCCTTCCTAGAGTAACTTTCAATGCTTAGGCAGTTATAGAGCATACAGTAATGCAAGATGCAAAAATAGGATTGTTGAACCAATTTGGGTAAGCAGAAGCTGATATGCATATAGAAATTCAGGTATCACGATGGTGTCACCAACTCTGCAACTATTAAATACAATCCATAGGTCCAAATGATAATTGTCATGGCTCAATCTGGCTTCAGTTGGTGGTTAGAAAGGTTTCAGGGAGGAGCAGCACATTCTACACCAAAACAAATACGGAGTAGCTTTTACAGAGGTATGAGGCATGTTTCCCAGTGTTTTTTATTTTTAAATTCTGGAAGTGTTCCTGGGGTGTCTCTGCATGGGTCATTACTACAGTGAGGGCATGTAAAATGATGTCCATTGCATCATTTTGTTCACTCACATCAGTTTCTACGTGGCAAAACTGGTTAAAAACTAGATTTTTCCAGTCTCATGCCACTCTGTGTGCGTTCTACAAGCACCCTGAACCAAAATTCTTTCGAAAATCACTCGCACTCATTTTTTGGAAGACAGAGTAGTGTAGCTGACTACCATCCTTAATAATTTGTTGCTGCCGCAACAAATCCTTCAAAAATTTGGAACCTTTTTCAATTTGTAGCTTCTCGTAGTTGGTTCAGACTATGGTCGAGTTCATACTCGTGCTGTACAGCATGCTGGATGCTGCAGCTGCATACTGTCCAATGCAACATGCCCATGTTGGATTGGATTTTGCCGTTGCAGTATGTGCTGTACAGCACGAGTATGAACTCGGCCTATCGATAAAGGCTGACTAAGACATCAAATGAGCACATGCACGCAAAGTTGTATAAAAATCCATTGATTCATTTCGGAGATGCAGCAGCTTATTTCAATTAAGGTTGCAGCGGACCGTTACCGCCGGCCGCAATCGGCGCGAGCACAGTCAACCAGAAAGAAACTCAGTTTCCCCAGTAGTCGGGAGAATGCGAACCGTGCAGCGTCTAAACGCTGCACGGTTCGCATTCATTGATCGAAACCTAAGTTTCGATCAATGTCACATGCCTATTCACAGAATGACACGGCGGGCACTTCGAGCACCTCATCCGAGTGTCAAACATGAAAGATTAATGCAGTTATCTTGGTCATGCGCATCCTGTCAGTCATCCTGTATGAGGCACAATACTTAGTTTGGACTAATGCGCCCGTACAGTTTTGGTCGCACTCCCTAACTGCAGGCACGCTCTGAATCACCTCTTGTATTACAAGGATCACGGAATGAATATTGTTATAACTTTGCATGCATGTGCTTATTTGATGCATTAGTCAGCCCATTAGGACGCACAGTGATGGCCTGAACCAATTACGAGAGGCTAACAATTTTTTTAATTTTTAAAGGGTTAAAAATTTTTAGGGGACAGAGTGTAATATCTGTTTCAGAAAATTAGATACATCAGATACATTTTCAAGAACAGATCACTATTGAGCGCATTGACCATCTAGCAAAGAATATTCATGGATATAGTCACTTGTACTGTAAAGGGATTATTTTTGAAATCTTTGTCCTAAAAAGTAGGATTGTACTGATGGGCCAATTTTGAGGGTGGTCCAATAACTGATTAGGGTTTCAGACACACTGACCAATTTCAGTGCTGATACTGATTCTGAATAATAACGGTTGTAGATACAGAGAGCAATAACAATTCATACAAAAAATACAAAATGTTTTCCAGGGAGACTAGAACAGCCTTGAGAATGTCCAACACTGTGATGCCATGTCATATGAACAGACTGTTAATTGCAGACAATGCCACATCAGTAGTTAATAACCACGGTTATCTATATATCAGTAGTCTTAACAAAACTCTGATCCCTCTTAAGGACAATCTCCAGTTTTCAGTTTCCAATCCTCCATTATAAAGTTCCTCCATCTTTGTGACTATTGAAGGACTAAGAAAGCATAGAATATTTGATTGCTTACAATAATTTAAAGATGGAATGAAGGAAGAATAACATGATCATGTGTCAAATGACGATAATTGGAAAACATTTAAATGAATTTTTCCACCACCGTGTTTTTCTTTATCACTGAAAAATCACTTCAGAAGCCCCATATTTCTTCACACACTGCTGCACTTTCTCCAAAATATGCTGTAGTCGTTTGTCCACAGCATATAGATGTGAAGGAGTCAAGAATGGACCTATGGGACTGGCAATCATTGCCTGATGTAGGAATTTCCCAAGTGAACAATTGGGAGAAGTAAAAGCCTCCAGGGTATCTAGCATTCCCTTGTGTATCCTGAATAATTTCAAAGCAGAAAACAAATAGGTACTAAAGTGTCATGAATCCAAATACCAAGTGGCCCCCAAAAAAAAGTTTCCAAATTTACATGGCCACAGATGGAACACCACACTAGGTGTTGGAAAGAAATCTTCAGGCAGTCACATTCAAAATATGTTTATGCTAGATGCTGCATGCCATTTTCAAAACTGGATGAACTGAAGGCTAAGATTGAGGAAGTGAGACCTCTTCTGGATAATGATTCAATTAGGAAGTCAATTGAACAATGGAAACAGTGCTTGAGAGCAGTTATGAACCAGATAGGAGGAACCATTGAGCACCTTTTCTCCTAAGGTCAGGTGCACCTCTGTTGCACCTTAATTTTATTTGCTGGGGAAAATAGCCCTTACTAGGGTTTTGAATGACAAACTTTGCACAACAATATACATATAATGAGTGACACCAAGAAGTTTTCCATCCAATACCTAGCAAGGTGTTCCATTTGTGACCACATAAAGTTCTGAAGTAAATAATGCTTTGGGCCATGCTGCTATCAAGTAAATGAAGGAAGACATACATGCAGCACTGATAAAGTGGTGCCAAAATGTCCTCAAAATTCACATCAGGGTTGCCAAAACTGGAAAATTAAAGAAATACAATATCAACTTGAGTCTCATCTAGCAACAATTAACTCATATGGATGAAGTAATGATTATCTGACCTTTTTCCATTGTCAAGGACCACTACTGGGGGATGTGGAAGATTTGATATGACTTCATAACGGTGGCGATCTCCATTCTGAATGAGGTAGTCAAAGATGGCAACATCAATGAGATCCAGTAACCTCCATTCAGATAATGCTGTTTTCACAGTTTTGCAATGATCAGGATCCACTTCCCACCTATTTAAACAAAAGTTCCTATTTGGTCAAAGCTATTACCCTCATCTGAAAATATGATGATTCTCTTTGTTTCTAACAAGCAAATGATCCAGGAAAGTCATACATTTCATCAGCCATTGAATAATATGACTGACCTGGCAAAAACACCTTCTTTATAGGTACGTGCCCAAGGGTGCCTCAACTTCTCGAGTTTGTTGTTTGTAGGAAGGTATAGGATCACAGAACCTTCAATATTCCCATCATCAGCAATGCAGAAGGCATCATCCTTGGTACAATATAAGCACTTCCCAACAATACATTGTCTCCCATCTAGAATAAATGCTGCAATGAATTTACCCTATCCTTTTTTCAATTTGAGATGAATGCAAATAAGATTTCATTTGAAAAAAAAAATGCATTTAAGAAAATGTGTGAGCAGTAATGGATTCAGTGAATTGGCACATATACATTTTCACTTGAGCTCTCAATTCAGGTTAATACCATCCAAACCACTTCTGCCAACTCCCACCTTTCTTAATCATAGTGTTCAACAGGGCTTGGTCTGCAACAGGGAGGAACTCATTCTTCCAATTGAATATTCTTCCAATGACTAGAGGGTACCACTGAAATCCAAGGAGCAGAGCCAACCAGAAGGCTGCAATCTCTCCATAATGACGATCCTTCCCATCGTATACTTTTCCCGATATCACATGATCAATATCATACCTGCATAGGACATGAAAACAAACATTTTAAACTGAAACTGAGTCCTACATTGACCATAACAATGAGAGCTATGGGAATATGCATAGAATTCACACAGAAGTTGGCCTGCAAGAATCAATCCATTGTTTAAACCAAACTTTAAATTGCCATTGGTGATAAACTGTAGTTTTTTTCAATATAAGGTGTATGTACTAAAACACAGCATAGGGAACACAGACTCCCACAGAGCTGTAAAAGGTCATCCCAGTTTTGAAGGGCAAGTAATCCCAAGACTCAAATCTGTGCCTTTTGTAATCTTATGGTACAAGTGTGTATAAGATGTACCACAATATTTAGCTAGAGGGGTTCACCTCAATGCCTGATGATGTTATATTTTAAACATTTATATCATTTTATAGGTTTTTTTCTGGTTTCAGATGTATACAAGGGTGATTCTACTCTTTAACTGGTCACAAAACCACTATGTCTTCTCTGCATCAAAAGACTGTGACCACAAAAAGGTTACACAGAATCCTGCCTCCCAGAAGCATTCCAATCTTTAAAGAATTGGCCCTTGAAATCATGGATGCTCCATCATGACAACAAATCCAGACACATACCCTCACATCAGATTTCCTGCAGAAGTCTGGCATCAGGATGCTACTACATCCATCCTAGTCCTGACCAGGCTTCATGTGAGTTTTTTATCTACTCAAGAGTTAAAGAATCATTGACATTTTCAGTCTCCAGAGGAGGTAGTAGCTGAATTTATTTAAATTATTTTGGGCATCCCAACATCTGAGTGGGAAAAAATATGCTTTGAGAAGTGGTTAGCATGGATGAGAAAGTGCATTGATACTCAGGAAGAATATTTCAAAAAGGTGTAATGATTGAATAAAGCCCAGCTGTTTTCTGCTGTCCACATCTGGAAACTTTCAGCGACCCTTCCATATATACAGTCGACTCTACATAATGGAATACCATTGCATGTTCCCAATTTATGGTATGATACAGCAGATATTTTTGGTTATTGGAATACTCCAGATAATAGAATACTGCTTGCTGGTCCCATGAGTATAACAATATGCAGAGTTGACTGTACTAAGCATGAAGAAAAAATATGGATTGAAATGCTGATCATATGTTTCAATGTTGACATTCACACATACATTTTGTTCTTCTCTGCTTAAAATTTGAGCACCCTCCTTTTAGAGTTGCATAGTTTGTTGGAATGAAGAATCACATCTTATGATGCCACACATATATATGTACATGTGTGTGTGGACTTGCAGTACTATAGGTCTACATGAATGCTGCCCATACCAGTAAATCATGAAAGACATTACCACTTGGGTTTAAAGACAGCCTTGAGGTCTCCATCAAGCCAGATTGTGAATTTGAACTGAGAACCACCTTGTCCAAGCCCAACTCGAGTAACTGCAGCAGTTGAGAGGAAATTTAGACCGTCTGCCAACTTCTGTCCTGTCTTATGGATCTGCTGGGTCGCCAGCCACTACAAGAACACCAGCATACAGAATATAAAACAATAAAATTAAATCAAGTCAATCTGAATCCCTTGTAACAGCAATGCTGTCATTCTCTGGATCAAGAAAGGCATAAGCATCTATTTGGTGGTCTCTAATCAAGGTAAGGAGTGACATAGTAAAACTAAGTGATAGTGTTGAATAATGCCTGGTCCTTGCCTATAACCCACAAGGTAATAGCAAGTTTGGCTATCATGAAAATTTCAGTTACAGCCTTGTCCATTGTTGATTCCACTGACAAATTTGGCAACTAGGTACAATTCTTGATTCATCATGCTCCTGAATGCAAAAGCATTGTGAACATTAACCATTGCTGACGATCCTTACTCTTCTCTTCTCTGGAATCTGTACTCCTGGAGGGTCTCTCATGTATGACTAAAGGAATTTGGAGGGTGAGAAAATGTGCATTGATCACCTAACCTTCAGTTACTTATCATAGTTTTTTGCAGATTGTAGGGTTAGCTGAAAGCAGCTATTTATGTCAAAACAGCCTCTTAGCTAAAGGTTGGGTGTTAAATCTTCAATTAAGGGGCGATTAGCTCAATTTATTTTTAATAGGAAAGTAAAATGACACAGGAGTAAAGTCAGTGCAAACTTGTTTATAGCAAACCATGGCTAAAATTACATTTTTCCTGTTTCTCTTGAGGATGGTACAACCTGGTTCTAATACATTCATGGCACATACATGTTAATTGGTGTCATTCTCAATGCAAGCAACTTTTTTTTGGATTAAGAGGCAATCAAGAACATTGAATTTACATGAAAAATCTACTAGTAAGTAAATCATCACATTTTTATGATCATCAACAAACATACCTTTCTCACAGATACAAAACTGTGAGGTGCTGCACGTCCTACAAATGAAGAGTTTGTTATTGTTTTGTATTCTTGCACACACTTCTTGAGCAACTCTCCAGTGTCATGGCATGGCTTTTGCGAGCTTCCATTAGCTCTGTGGCTATGTGTTACTGGCTTTGCCATGCCTGACTTCTCTGTCCAGGATAAGTGAAGTACTATGGTTACAAGTACATATGCCATCAGTACAAGTAAAAGGGTTTGTGTTTGGGTGAGATGCCTCATGAATCATTCTAGGTCTATCTGGGACCTGATTCACTCATAGAGTACCAATACCTGCAAAGCCAAGCATGATCATTTCAATCCTGCATACTGACAGCTTACATTATAAGCAGGGTTGGAAATGTTCAATTTATACCTTCCTTTGCTTAAGTTTATTTATAACTATCAAAGTTCATTCTGCTCATTCAATTTCAAAGGATAATAGTAGAAAAATGATTTCCCTTTCTTCAAGCTGATTAAAATTGAGAAAAAAAATATAGTGAAATTCACAAGCCCAATCCAAGCAGGGAAAGGGCTTTGAAGTAACAGAGCTGTATGCTGGTAAAAAGGCTTTAACCCTTTGAAGTCCATTTTTATCATAATGCTACAACAAATGTGTTGTCTAGCTTGCTAAAGGACCACGAGTTAAAAGAAAAAAATAAGAGGAACTATAGTAATTGACTTCAGTGATAATATGACACTACATGTTGGACCAAACTCATTGGTCCCAATCCCTGCCCTCCTCCTCCCTTTGGTCTTCGACTTCCACCTCCACTTCCTCACATGTGCCATACAGCAAATCATCCATTCTGAAAATGCCTTTTTCCTGCTTATTTTTTCTATTAATAACATTTTCAAAGTTTGAACTATTGCTTCAAAATTGCTATATCAAAATCGACTTAAAAATAATTGAAAGTTCCAACATGAAGTAAAACATTACATGGAACTCAGGTCTGAGGCCCATATAATGTTCTATTGATGAAGTGCAACATCTCTGAATATAAAAAAAAGAATATATTCTAATGCCTAGTATCCCACTCATTGATGAAAAAAGATTTTGTTGAAGTTTGTAGAAGAGGCAAAAATGAGAGGAAAGACAGAGATGGTTTCATCTTTGACTGCTCCCCAAGAGAAATGAAAATGTAGACTCTTCAGCTAATACCTTTTCCTCAACTTCTCAGAAGAAAGAACCTGTTACCCTAGGCCTACAGTACTCTCTAGGCAAGCCTTGTGTAAGCCTAGAGCTAATTTTGTGTAAGGTGTTCCTTTCGTTCATTAATTTATCCATGGAGTGGCTATTACTGGTTATCAGTTTCGACTGCTTCTGACAGTCAGTTGGCCGGAAGGCAATATATATATGGCTTGGATCCGCTGAATGTTCAAGGAATTGTCATGGGTAAGGCTAAGTGTGGTACGAATAGTAAGTAATGTCACTGCTTCTCTTCGAATATTCTGTTACAAAACTCTACAACTGCCCCAGGCCCCGGGCACGTGGGAACATTTTACTTGTCTTTGAGGGATCGCTTCCGTGACGTTCACAGATGTCTCAGATCAGAAGATAAAACCACACGCCATTCTGATATCCTCTCCAATTTTCCAGAATTACATATTAAGCATTTTTGCAAAGGGCTTCATTGAGGAGTGCTCAACCATTAAATCATAAAAGTTTGCTCTCTCTTGCTGAAATTCATAGTTGATCGTAGGATCTGACCTGGCAACCCTTCACAGGTGTTAGTGGTGAGCAGGTGTGGCACCTCTTGGCCTAGCAGGGCCAGAAAATAGTGATTTTCGTGCTCTCCAAGTGATCATAGATATCTTTTATATTCCCCTTACCGTTCCTGATCCTTCAGTGTCGCCTCCTTCAGCCAAGCATGGTACGTTCACTAATCTAGAGTAGCCTTTGATTTTGGCGCAGGTTAAGGCTGATGCATAACATAGATGCTGTGAGTTCGTGAACTTACCCCAAGGGCTACGTTATCGGATTGAGTCAATGGAGTTTAGGCCCACCATAGAATATTTCATATAAAAAGTTGGCCCACGCCTGCTGTTTGTTTAGAAATGTACTAACAATGATAAACTCAATTTTAAAATGTACCTTGCCAATCTGAATTTACAAGTAGTGGCCATAACTCTGCCTATTCCCATTCCATTAGGCTTTTCCTTTTATTGTGATCCCATACGCCTTAATTTCAGTAACATAAAAGTCAGTCATGTGAGTGTTAGATGATTAACTCTTCACCTCTCATGATGTTGGCTGATAACTCCTGGTATTTGTGTCAGTACATCCTGAGTATTCATCTTCAGTTTTCCTTTGTGCTCTCACAATTTTTATTTGAAGCCAACTCATTTCACTTCAGGTAATCCCTCTCAGGAGGCATCATTGACTGATGTTTTCATTGTGAAGAATGAAGAAAGGACTGTTATTAAGGTCATGTGTTTGCTTGTTTTTGCAAATTTGGATTACTTTTTTTTTTCAATATTAGGGTCTTCTTGCATTCCTGAGGAAATTTCGCTCAGCTCCTGACCAGGAAATGAGGATTCTCTTGCTTGGTCTCGACAATGCTGGAAAAACAACCATTTTGAAGAAACTTGCCTCTGAAGACATCACGCATATAACTCCAACTCAGGGATTCAACATCAAGTCTGTACATTCTGAAGGCTTCAAGCTCAATGTTTGGGATATTGGGGGCCAGAGAAAAATCCGTCCTTATTGGAAAAACTACTTTGACAAGACAGATGTCCTTGTGAGGATCTTGAACCTGTTCCATTTTTTGAGGTTATTCCTAACATCTATAGGGTTTATATTTTTAATTTGCATTCTTCTGAACAGTTTTGAATTGCATGTAGTGCACAAGGTCTTATGTAAATGGTCTGAACAACTACAGGAACCATATTCATTCAAATTCTCCCTGTTCCTATTTTTTCATGCTGTTTGGAGATTGCACATAAACAAGCAAAACCATAATCTTATAATTGATTACCCTTGGTCAGGTGACTTGAAGCATTCAAACAGCAGCACTAAAAGGCAGTGCTGCAAAAACATCTCAAGCTAAGGTTATCCAGACCTTGGTTATGGCTCCAAAAGAAGCCTCAAATACAACTGATAGAAGCTATCTCTAATGTGTTCAAATTTGTTGTAGCTGTGGAATCAGGTATTATCTGACGAGAATAGTACATGAACGATGAAAGAGAAGGAGATGGAATTTTTTGTGCAAAATAAGTGATAAACTCCTTTCTGAAAAGTACATAGCTATTGTGACAACACTAGGTTACAGAGAACCTAAAAGTTTAAAAGTAATAGACCACCCTATGAGGTGTTGTAAGGAATGAGATTTCTTATATGAGTTTGATTTTTTCTTCCAGATCTATGTTGTTGATAGTTCAGACCGCAAAAGATTTGAAGAAACTGGGGAAGAATTTGCTGAGCTCTTACAAGAGGAGAAGTTGGCCTGTGTACCTGTGTTGGTTTATGCCAATAAGCAGGACTTAATGAATGCAGCTCCTGCATCAGATATTGCACAAGGACTGCTCCTGCATAAGCTGAGGGATCGAATGTGGCACATTCAGGCATGCTCTGCTGTTAGGGGTGAAGGAATTCAGGTAGAGCATAATTCCAACTTATATTCCCCTACAATATCTCCAACATTGTTTTGATGACTACTTTGGTCATTTTCTTTACAGGAGGGTATGGAGTGGGCATGCAGAACTGCAAAGAAAAAGAAGTAAGGCTCGGGACATGTCATTTTTTCCCCCCTTTTTTCTGATAGGAGAATGATTTGCTTGTCACACTTGATGTTTCTAGTCCAATACTGTGATATCTTCACCCCTTGAGGTGATGATCTCAGTCAGGTATTATGTATTACTTGAATGGATTCTTGTAGGTACTTGGTTCCTTTTGTTAATGTTCTATGTGTTTATGGTCTTTCAAGCTGTGTCTCCTCATGACTGAGGGCACATGATCTTGTCGTATCATTTTAGGTGAACAGCTTTAGGGGTAGGAGATTGCTACAATAGTTCTTTTGTTGTAGCTTCATGCTTCTCTCAGGTTGTGTACAACTTCAGCTTTGGGTTATAGTGACCATTCAGACCTGACTCTGTATTTAAATTTGCCAAGCATAACAATTGGTTCATGCTTGACTTGTCTGTGTAGATCTCAGGTAAGGTCAAACAACAGGTTTTGTACTATATAATAGTACATTAAAAAATAGGATTGATCACATTATCATATGGCATTTGGTCTTGATGGCAAAATGCCCTGAAGAGTTTCCAATGTATTCCTCTTATTTCTTACCATAAACTTTGTTGCTTTTCACAAGAGATGTTCTCATGATAAAAGTTCCTCCTCATATCCTTAAGAAACCATCTATCTCATCACATGTCTGACAAGGGTAAATATGCAATTTTCAATAATTACCCCCTTTTGCTTATTTTAAATAAAATTAGTATTAATGCTTAACTTTTTTCATGCTCACTCCTGCGCTGATTTTTTATAATATAATTTTTGTATCCTATGGTTTATGGTGTCTGCTGCATAGAGAAACTTCTGCTCTTAACTTGTTTGCAGCAGTTACAAGGTGAAGGAATGTTCACATTTACTCCTGGGAGCTCAGACTAGCAACACTCTGGTACTAATATGAACATGCCTACATTTTATTCTTCATTCGGAAAAATCAGGCAAATTCTTGCCCTCCTGAAAAATTGTCACAATTACATATTTGCCCTTTTCAAACTTTTGACAATATAGGCCTACTTAAGAGTAATTTTTTCTACACATACAAATTTCTGTTTCTTGCATAATATTGAGAAAACCAGGGACCACTTATTTCTCAACCACCCTATATGTTCTGTGGTGTGAGTGGTTTTTTTTTTCAACTTATACTAATGCCCTTGCCAGTATCACAGACCATGTGTGCATGGGTCACTTTGAAAGAATTTAATGGCACCATATCCATCCATAACACGTGCCTTGATGGGGATGTTGGAAATCATGAGTTCATTGGAGAGTGTTATAGAATGGTGTATCATTAAGTTTATGGATTTAGGCTGAAAAGACTCTGAAGTGACATTGAAGGGGCTTGATGGATTGCATTTCAGTGCCTTCTTTTTCATGTCCAAGGAAAGAAAACTTAATTGCAACAAGAACATCTTAGAGTTTCTTGTGTTCTTACTTTAACTGGGAACCATTTGCTGCAGAAGATGAACCATTTCTCAGGTGCTTGCATTCTGACTAAGCCCAGGTTTTATGTGCTAAGAATACTTATGCTGGGAGGTTAAAATCACAGAATTATAAAATTCACCACACCACACAACTTGAGTGAAACCTGCTGCTTTGAAATAAGTGATCATGGCTGTATGAGTGACAGGTGAAAATTGAGTACTTCTCCACCGCAGTAAGAGAGGAGTGAATTCCATTTTTTAAAATTTCATCATTGGTCTAGGATGTAGCATTAGCACTGTTCCTGTAATTTTCAACATATTTGTATGATCCTTTCCTTGCCTTTCTCAAGTATTCTGAGATGAAATCCATTATGGCCCTTGCAAGACACTTGTCTGTGTGGGATTTTCTGACCAAAGGCCAATATGGCTATTTAGTCTCAAATTCAGTAGTTGACTGGCACTGCATCAGCTTCTTTTCCTTTCATCACATATCCATGGTGACAGCTGAATCGCATGAGGGTAAATCTCAACTGTGAAATCATTGGAAGTTATCTATGATAAAGTATCTTTGGAGGCAGAAACACAATACAGTACTTTGCTTTTGAAATTTTCTTGCATTTTCCCTGTGAAATGGAGTGGAAAATCTCAATCATAAGCTCATGTGATGAAATGGAATGTTCTGATCTCATCTCTATTCCCTACCTGTGATGCACATTGAAAATCCATCCATTTTTATGAAATAAAGCATTTCATGAAGCACTTGAAATTATGCATTGTGTTTGTGATAGGCTGTGAAATGTGAAAGTTGAAAGCAGATTAGGGCACACATAAATCAGCAAACAGAAGAGAATGGGTATGTGCAGATTCATGACTGTGAGGTTGAGGAATTACTTCCTTCTTACTGTTTCATTGATTACTTTCTTGATGTGTCAAATTACATTTATTGGCATAACATTTTTTCATAGCAATGCAAATAGCACAAGTATCATAATTTTTCAGAGATTTTGCCTGCCAGGAGTAGAACCCATACGAAAGAGAATGAAGGATACTACTGTGCTTAATCATTCCTACACCATACAGTATAAAGAGAGTAAGGGAATCCTATACCAAACTCAGAAATTATTCTAAATTCAGCCCAAATTGTTCCATGAGGCAAGTGCACCTATCCCCTTGAGGTCATGGGCATAGAGATGGAGTCCAGGGGTTCTGGACACACCCAAAAATGTGAGAGACTTCAAGAAAAAAGTCATGGAGTAAAATGAGATCACTGTAGATACAGGGTGTCCCACTTATTGCAGACGATTTTAATAGCATATAAAATTATTCCTATTTGAGCAAACTAAAGAAAAATTTCACAATATTTAATGTCTGTTTAGCATTTATTGTGACAAGGTTTCAGCCAAAACAAATTCACCAATTACAAGCTATGAACTTCAACATGACCCCCGTCGATTTCAAGCACTTTTCCCAATTGTGCCTGGTATTCAAGCAGCGTTTTCTGGCGCATTTCAATGGTAGTGTCTCCAAACGCCGCGGTAATACATTCCTTCAGTTCAGGAATGTCCCTTGGTTTGGTCACATAGACTTTTGACTTGATATAGCCCCACGTGAAGAAGTCGCATGGTGTTGAGTCAGGAGAATAGGCCGCCCAGAGCATTGTTGGTGATCCACGACCCATCCATTGATCCGGAAACTTTTCGTTCGGCCAGTCAAGGACTACTTTACCGAAATGAGGCGGGGCACCATCCTGCATGAAGGCCAGATCATCAGCCAGTCCTTGGGACTCAATTTCTGGTCAGAATTTTTCTTTGGCATTAAGGATGGTGCCCTGCCTCATTTCAGTAAAGAAGTTCGAAGGGACATTCCCGAACTGAAGGAACATATTACCGCTGTGTTTGGAGACATTACCGTTGAAATGCGCCAGAAAACGCTGCTTGAATACCAGGCACAACTGGGAAAAGTGCTTGAAATCGGTGGGGGTCATGTTGAAGTTCATAGCTTGTAATTGGTGAATTTGTTTTAGTTGAAACTTTGTCACAATAAATGCTAAACAGACACCTAAATATTGTGAAAAGTTTGTTTAGTTTGCTCAAGTAGGAATAATTTTATACGCAATTAAAATTGTCCGCAATAAGTGGGACACCCTGTACTTATAGCCTCCTTTCCTGATAAGGGGTGGATTACATCTTGTCAGTTAGGATTGGATGTGGGATGACCTGCACAAATGAGAACGCCAGTCTAGTCACTAATTCCAGAAGAGCCATGCCCAGGCTTTCATTTGCACTTTTGCTATGGCTTTACCATTGAAACTTCCCCTGCCCTTAGTTTCACATACAAAGTCCATACATATAAGCTGTCTACACTAAATTTTGTTTTTTAGCCTTCTGTAGTTTGAGAATTTCTTTAACAGCAAATCTTAGGTAAATAATAACTTTATCAATCCTTCTGGCTTAACTGATGAATGCATTTATAGCTAAATTCTAATGCACCTGCAAATTGCTGTATTTACCTATCCTGAAAACTGATCTCAATGCAAAACTCTTGGTTTCTAAGAATTTATACACTGCCCATTAAGTCAAAGCATGAAATGAAGCCTACCACTTTCATTCAGATATGGAGTGGGAAGAAAGAGAGCAAGAAATGAAAACATAATCCCCTCAGAATGAGAAAAAAAAGTAGGGACTTTTTCATTTTTCTTGATTCCTCCCAACCACTACCCTCCCTCACCTGCTCTGTCACATTCATAAAAAAGCTACAGGATACCTCCCAAAACATATTTCTGTCTGCTTTTCTGCACAAAAATTGTACAAGATAGGAGGAAGAGAGAAATTGGTAGGCTTTGTGGTCATCATGTACCACAAAGTTAGGTCAGCCATCAATATAAGTTGAAGGAAAAACTCCAAGAAATCAGAGCTATGAAAGAGATAATTAATGATCTCTGAGAACTTAGACTTACCTCATGGCAACATTCAAGTACTTACCACCAGGTTCTACTCCCCAGCTAAGGGTGATGATCACCCTAACATTTGGGTCACCTGAGTTAAAGGTTTTGTTTTCTATGAATCACTCAAAGGCCTCCCAAGGTTTCTCAAGAAAATTTCACAACACTCTAAATCTTTAAGGTGGTTAAATAAATTTCTTATTCAGTTTGGCCATGGCCAAGGGTCCACCCAAACAAATTCAAATGAAAAAGAAGTAAGGAATTTCACAAATTCCCCCAATACTTGAAACAAAATACATATAAGAAATGACAACAATACATAGAAGAATAAAGAAGTTATTGAATTGGTCCTGAAATTTTTTTTCATCACCCCTCATATGTTGTCTCTCCCTGGTGAAAATTCCAGTTGATGGAAAGCTTTATGGTGCCATTTCTGTGACTATGTCTTGAAGCTCTAGGTCAAGACATAGATCAATCCTTTGCAGTAAAATATCACAAAAACTAGTCCCTTATATTTTTCATCAGTAATGCAATAAAAAAAAACAAGTACCCAAACTAGATTAAGAATTATCACATCTTAAAATGATAAAAATTCACTGGAAATCATAATAGACACCCTACAATGAACCTTAACAGCTTATATGATTGCCTTTCATGGTATGGCAAAAAAAAGATCAATTAATTTTAGCCTATATATCACTGGTTTCACTGGAGTTACTCCCAATAAACTTGAACTGTGCAAAGATTTATACATTTCCCACAAGCCTACAAAATGTTATCAAATTGGTTTGTCAAAGCAAGTCTAATGAGCACTAATTCATAAGAAAACAATAACTCAATATGGAAAGGGGATTGAAGTCCCTTTGAAGAGACAAGACTCTGCCTGCCTGGTTCTCCAGCATCAATTTATTTAGAGAAAATATGAAGAAACTTTGAGCAAATTCTGTGCATTGAGACTTATTGATTCAATGGTCCATCACTGCATTTGTGAAAGTGCCAATCAAACCATGGAACATCTTACAAGCCAATGTCCATTATACATGTTTGACAGTGGAATCTCTGAAGTATACTCTGCATTGGATTCTGCTATTGAATGGTTATCCAACCTCGCCCTAAATTGATCAATTTGTTGCTCCCCTCATAAAAATGGTCCATTGCTTGAAGAAAAAAAAACCCCTATCAAAACTACCTGTAAGAATAGGATAGCCCCAATAATTAATTTAAAACAGAAGTTTGATGTCTGGATGATGCACAACAATAGCATGAAGCCATTTCTTCCATTTGGCAACCTGCATGAGCTATTGTCCCTTTTCAATAGCCAACTTCTTTCTAATATCTGTTTGTAGCCTTCCTCACTGCAACATAGTTGGATGAAATTAACAAAAATGCGCTTAAAAATCAAGTTTTTCGCAAGTGTTGCAAAACTTTTTGGCCAACCTAGTATTATAAATAGGTCTAATAATGATTCCTAATATTTGGAAATGTGGATGCTGCATGGCTCAAGATATTGAGCATGTTATATGGGAGGTGAATTCACAAAGCATAATTCAATGAAAAACTTAATTTTATTCAAATAGCCTCAATTTCCATAATATTGTCATGATCTTCCATGACTTCATTAGGTTTGTCTTGATTCTTCTCCTTTTTCAAGATGTGCAGTGCATGTAGGTACTTCATAAGAAACTTATTATGATCACAGATTTTCCCAATTTCTTCACGTTTTATACTCAGGTTCCTCTGCAAAGACCTTAAGACAGGGATCAGATCTGAGGAACCAGATTTCAAGACCATGCCATGACAATACAGCAAGCTTTGAATCCAGATGAGATAAAACTCTACATGTGAAGATCTTTCAAGTTGTGTGGCTGAAAATGATAGCATTTTCATCACAAAATCAAGAGGAAGGCCTGATGCAATAACCTCCACATCTTTCACAGGAGTTGATTCAATCACTTCCTGGATCAGCCTGAATTCATTCAAACGAAATGCAAGGATAAGAGCCATGCCAAATTCTTCATTATGCAAAGCTTTGTGAACTGCAGTTGGTGTGACAGTTTCATCCAACTGATATGGCTGGAAGTTGAGTCTAGCATCCAAAGAAAATATTAATATACCTTCAGTGGTTGTGGCTATGAAGCACCTTCCAGTGGGTGCATATCTAATGGAAGTAACCCGCACTTCTGGACGGAATGTGCGGGTGGCCATGTCTCCTTTCTTCACACCAGGCAGAGCAATAGCTACCTTCTCCCCCTCTCCTCGGTCCTCCACAAGACTCAAGTTTCCAAACTCAGTCATTTTTCTCCTGTTGACAAATTCATTCATTGAATCAAAGGAAAGGTTCTGTGTGACCATAAATTTCCTGAGAAGAACCCCTTCTTTGATATGATATAAGCATATGTACTTGGACTGTCCTGCAGCAAGAATGCATTCTCCATCAGCTGAGTAGCACAATGTTGTAAATGCTTTGCCCTGCATAGATTTCTTAGCTGAAATCATATCTGTGTCCTTCCTTCCACTACCCAAGTCATAGCGTCCCTCAATACTGCCAACCTGTGTTGCATGCAAAGGTTCAAAGAAATATATGTTTCCATCAAGTGTTGCAACAGCTAATTCCTTGCCATCTGGACGGAAAGTCACACACAAACCATCTGAAGTAAGTGTAATAGTTTCACGAGCTGTAGCAGATGTCACTACATCCCAAAGTTTCACAGTTTTGTCCCAGCTGCATGAAGCCATAAGAGTTTCAGTTGGCATTGGGTTAAATGCAACACCTGCCACTGGGCCTTCGTGACCTGCCAGCACCTCTAATAATCGTCCAGTTTTCATGGACCAAACGTACGTATCAAAAGTATCCTGGGTTCCTGCAGCCACAAGTTCACTACTGGGATCCACAGCAATGCAGGAGAACTGGACCGGTGTTGGTGAGGTGAAGGTTCGAAAGTTTCTGTACCGAGCCAAATCAAATGCACGAACTGTGCCATCTAGTGAGGCTGATAATACTGCCTTTCCATTGCTTGTGAAGCTAACACCAGTCACAGGTGCTGCATGATCAGTGAATGTAACAAAGCAGAAGCCACTGGAAGTGTGCCATAATTTGAGCCTAGAATCTTCTCCACCTGATGCTATGAACTGACCATCTGGAGAGTAGCTGACACATGTCATGTTGTTTATGTGTCCTTCTTGCTTGAGAATGTATGATTCTGATTGCCATTCCCAAACAACAAGCTGACCTCTGATTTTAGATGCAAGGGCAATCCAGTCTCCACTCTTGTTTATGTTGATGGTGGAGACCTCATGGGGCATACTCAAAGAATGAATCAAATTCGCCTCAGGCATTTCAAGGAGGAAGAAGGCTCCAGTTGAGAATCCAAGTACCAGAATGTGGTTCTCTGCATGGTAGGCAGTTGCAGTAAGGGTGGAATCATATATCTTTTTACCCCCTGCATCCTTCACCAAGTCACTTGCATGATACACCAGAGTTCTCTTATATACTTTCCTCTTTGGTTTGTCTGGCTCTTCTAGTGCCTTTTCAGCTTTCTCTTCATCACTCCCCATTTCATCTTCACTCTCTTCTGCCTTCCTTCGTTTTTCCAATGGCTCTTCTGAATCATGTGAAAGTTTCAAATCAGAAAGTTCCAAATCGCACTGCCAGAGAAACACACTCCCATTCCGTCCCACTGTTATCAAGTCCAAAGAGTTTTTTTCAAAGTGGCAACCAACAACTGAATCTCCATGTGTGCCTAAACATTGCACTAACATGTTGGAACACCTTTTCAGTGGTATAACATGTGTGTTGCCATCCAGAGCTCCAACAGCAAATACACAAGAATCTGAAGTCCATGAAAAGCATTGCACATCATCATAACTCTTCTGGAAGATTCTCTCCAAAGCAAATGGAGTGTACTGCTTGATGTGAGCATCTGGTGCCCTGTACACAAGCGATGCATTGTTTCTTGCAAACAGGATGTACTTGCCATCTGGACTGAAGGATATAAAAGATGTCCGTCTGCCCATCTGCAATTGGTGAAGGATTCTTCTAGTCATAACATTCAAGAGGTAAGTTTCTCCTCCTTCATCCAAAGCTATTAATAGATGTCCATTTGGAGACAGTGAGAGGGATTTAAAACTGTAACGACTCTCCAAAGGCAATGTCTCAGACTTATTGCTTTTCAAATCAAAGAGTGTCACTTTGTTTCCCACAGGACTGAAGAGCACATTTCCATCTGGGGAGAATACCAAGTTCCCCTGATTGTACACTGTCCCAATAAGGTTAGAAAATTGAAAAGAATACTTCATTTTCACTATGACTTTTGTGACCTGTATAAAACAAAAGCAAAAGGCTTCATGAGTCATTAACATCAATTCAATGAATGCCTGAAATGCTGTACATTGCTTTTTGAGAACTTCAAACTTTCCTAAATTTATTCAATAGACAAAAAATATATCAAGGGAGTAAGAAGTCCATATACCTTCATAAGCTTGACAATGGTAGGCTCATACATCATGCATCACACTCTAAACAAATTGAGGATATTCCATATAGCAATACCCATTCCTCTACCTCAATGGTTACTTAGAGAATGTCTTCTGAATGTCTCCCACCCTTTCAACAACTGCTTTTCCTCTTACAGCTCTTTTGCACCTAAGTAGGTTAAGCTATCATGCAGTCTCAGATCCACAATCTCAAACAAGTTTGAAATCATAATTAGGCCAAATTATATTTTTGATATAACAACTGAAAAAACTTCCAACATTACAAAAGCAGAAGTACACAGCAGAACATCATGAGCATAGGAAGCACCTCACCTATATAACACCACAGTGAATGTAGACTTTCCAGAGGTATTACTTTTACCTGTTACTGTGCCCTAAAGAGAATAAATGCCAACTGAACTCAACAGTGGGTGAAGGAGTTCAAGTTTTGGTGGATCAATGAAAACAAGCTTGAAAAACAAAGTTACTGACAAAAATATTTTCTGTAAGTACCATGTGCAAAAGTAAGTTCAAAACTGAAAACCACAATTTGAAATTGAAGTGACATTAAATTAGAGTTAGAACTTTGATATAGAAAGCATACAAGAATGATCTCTTTATTCCTCTAAATTAGTGGCAGAGGTACCTAATATATATTACTTAAAACAAGAATGCCATTTACTCACAGATATATACAACAATTTATTATTATTTGAGTTGGTGCTCAAAGTACCCTTAAATGAAAAACACCACTATTCAACAAAAATTTTTTAAATATTCAGTTAGCCCCAGCATCTTTGTGCAAGTTATAAAATGTTGAAATGAATTACAGAATTACAATAAAACAATATATATATCATGTAATGAAGCTATTTTCTAGAACAATTATCAAAAACATGTTTTATATTGAAATTGCACATTTCTTTATGCTAATGGTATTCTATAACAAGCTGATAATGGAGTGGGAACATAGTTTTAACTTTAGATGTACACACATTTCCTTCATGCATGTGCAGATGATCAATTAGTCATGTATTCTATTAGATATGCCCGTTCCAAAAATAGAGCAATACTTTACATTATACACTTGTTTGTTTCTACTTCATCATCTGCTGTAAAAAATTTTACATTTTTCAAAATTATGTTATAACGAAGGAAAAATGACACTCCCTTGAATTTTGTAATAGCAAGCATAGACTGTGCAGTGATTATGCAATGAGATCACACACCCTTTTAATGTTAACCATTGCTTTCTATAGTCCTACAGACTCCCAACAGAACTAATGTTTCCTCTGGTCTTACATGTTGCATTATCTGGTATTCAGTAATGTCCCTAGAGTTGAAACATCAGCAGCACCAGAGCTTTCATAGGGTTGTGATCACATTGCAAAACTAGTACGACACCATTCCATCATCACACTCAGAAAGACAAAAGTATTTATGAATGCATGCAGTTCAATCACTTCATTTCTTATGCTTCCCATATTACAGTGCAAATGAAGTTACTCTTGGCTTGATGATCAGGTGAAAAGAAAGTAAAATAAATTTCTAGACTTAGGAACATTCCTGTTCGACACCCATGTCAGGGATCCTTCATTATGTGAACACCAAAGCACCGCCGACTTTGTCTTGTGTACACCCCCCTGTTCAGTGCACACTATGAGGTACAGATGTCATTACGTGCTTGTTGATCTACATGTCTGACGCAGTGCACCTGTCATTGTTGGAACCTCAAGTTCTTACTTGAGCTTCTTATGTGAATCGAAACACACCCCCCCCCCCCCCAAAAAAAAAAAAAAAAATAATATCGAAACCCCCCCCCCCCCCCCCCAAAAAAAAAAAAAAAACTTATTTCATGAGATTCTGTATCAGGCCTGAGATGTCATTTGTTGGCAGGTCGATCAGATTAGAAGCTCTTTCACACAGACATTATCATTACCGTGCTAGCTGTAGTAATATATTCGCCATTCAGGCAGGCCTAGGACTCCCGTCAAAGTCTTGGAGAGCAGCGGCGCACCATCACCTGCCGATTGGTTTCTGCTGGTCATCCTGGACATTGAGTTATCTCAGGGTGCACGTGGGAGCCGCGTCAGGAAAACCGGACTTATGACCAAGAGAAACTGCTCGAAGTGGCGATTCTCCCTCCGTATGACGGTTGGCGAGGTTCAACTGGTTTAGTGTTGCCGTCCACGAAAACCTCCATTTCGAGCAGCTTCTCAAGATCGAGAGATCATGAGTCCGGTTTTTCTGAAGTTTTCCACGCGCACCCTGAGATGTCAGAATGAGGGCGAAGGATACCCCCCATGTCAAGCCTTTCATGAAACCAGGCTCAAGAAACGCCAGCAGGTTTTTTTTTTCGGGTCTAAGGCCAATTCTGAGTCTCGTTATATGTTTTAGTGTTACTCCTAATAATAGAAGTGGACTATAAGGCCGTTCAAACTGATACAGGTTTGGTTAAATCGTAGTCGTGTAATATAAAATTGAAGGGCTATGGTTATGCCTACAGGTCTAAGGCTGCAAGAAGACTTGTCGAATACCAATTTTGCAAAAGGACATGTTATATGATTCTTGAGTTTCACCCTAAGAGGAAGTAGTGGGCATGGTGCTCACATCACGTGTCGGCAAAAGAGAAGGCAGCCATGATGAACGGGAACGGGAAGTTTGGATAGAGCGCGTTCGCTTGACGATAATAGCCTCTGTATCAGGGGGTGTCACTAGGATGGCACAAGGTCTTATTGGTGCAATCCCATTGAACTTTGTCGTGATCTCCTTGAAAAAATATCAGATAAGCAAACACCGTCAAATTTGTATATTCGTCCTCTGAGAATAGGCTTAGGCCTACCAGAGTTGAGACAGGCTAGAGTGATGAAGTGTACTTATTCTCAGCTCTAATTTTCCCACGTTGAATGGAACGTGCCTTGCAGGCTTATATTAGTATGGGGCGCATCATAGACGCACCACAGACTGTGACTGTGAACACCGAAGGAATCTGGAATTTGCTCAGTGAGAATAATGAGATAGTTTTCGCAGTGGCCGAAATGATTTTGAAATTCATGGGTCAGCGGTGTCCATTACTGAGAAAAAATGCCTCTAATACCGACTAACGGAGCTTAGAATCCTAATGATGTCACGTCTGAAAATAGGACTCTCTCTTCTTCAGATTCTGAACTCAAGCAGACGAATGGTATGCTGCCTGACGGGGTTTATTGTTTTGGGTGGGATGCCTATAGTTTCTTAGAACTATGATTGTTTCCTTTTTTCCGGGAGCTATCTAACCACTTCATAAAGCTGTCCATGGAAGGAGCAATCGCTAAATCTTTGCCCCCCAAATTATTTGCAGTCATTCTAGATTTTACCCAAAAATAAGAGAAGTTATTCTGCCACCCACCCCGGGACATAAGCCGCATCCAAGTTGAGATTTGCGCAGCTGGTTTCGCCTTGAACCATTGCTTGGATCGCCACAAGCCTCACTATCAACTGGTTTGCCCTTGTTCTGCTGTTGTCATCATATTGGAAGAACTTAATACTATACTCTGTGATCATGCTTCGATGTTGAAGTAAAGCCCCGAACTCGTCGCAGCACAATCGAGGCTTTTAATAAAAGGGTCTGTGTTTAGTCCAAGCGTTTGATTGTGTTCCTTCTCGAACTTCAGAAATCAGCTTCCATTGACGATCCACTACTGCTGAACAACACAAACCGTCCATGCTCTCAGTGCTCTCCGTCTCTGGCTTAAAAAAAAAAAAATTCGTAGCGTCGACCGAATTGGCACTATAAGGGTTATATGAACTCAAAACATCCATTTTGTGCCTGCAAATGTCGCCAAATAATTGAAACACAAAGAGAACAGGGCGAAGCCCGCACAAAGTGGATCACAAAATCTATTTGTTTTTTCCTACTTTGAAAACTGATTTGGCAGAGGCGCGACCCTGCCTAATCCTCGCACCAATTATGAAGTATAAAGAACGAATGGCCAACGAGCACGTTACATGATGATCATGAAACTAACGCTACCTAAATATATATATCGTCTTCATATAGGAAAAGAACATAAATATGAACAAAAGCAGCATTGAACATACTAGTAGGATTCTTAGAGCAATCGAGGTTCAAGAACTTTCAAGTCCTGTTGGTAAAGTCTATGAGCCATTACGAAAATTCCAATCGTCCATAATGACTAAAAATATTTTTATTTTGACTGGATATTTATTATTTTCACCAACCACCCATTCTTCAGGAGTCACAGGGTTCTCTTTATTCTGATATCCGCGGCCTAAGGGATTCTTTCCCACGAAGGGTAGTGGAGGTAGAGAGTGCTTGAGTTTTCTTTCCTGCTGATTACTGTCCTGTTGAAGGCGATGTTAAAGTTTAGACAATTCCTCCTGCCCCTCCTACACCGCCTTCCCTCTCATTTTTCTGCGGACGTGACGTTATCTGCATTCCAAAATACTAGTGCATATAGGGATAAAAGCAACTCTTTCCGCACCCCTCCTCTGGCTGCATCCCGAGACTCGAGAGCGACAGACTGAGTGATTTACCCAAA